AAATCTAAATTTAGTTTATAAATAATTTTTGAATAAATTATTTCTTTATATGGACAAAAACTGAGTAATTCACACCACCGGTACGTTGCGTTTCGTTTAACATAACCACGAGCCAAGAGACCGAAAACTTCTCCGCTTGCGCCTTTTATTCTCCTTTTTTTCTAACTGCGTCGAGCGGACTTTTTTGTTAGCCGTTGTTCGGTCAATACCCTCAACATTTCCCCTCATCAGGCATTCTGTTGTAGACTTCTGAAAGCTTTAATTACACTCGCAGCTTTTTTTCCTATTATCCGCTGCAATTTTTGGCGATCAACCGAAATGCACAAAGCAAATTAATAAATGACATTTCTCATTTTTTTCTATTTTTGTTTTGATTATGCTTTGTTTTTTTTACTAAAATGTGTTTCATGCAGTTCGGGAAAATAATTTAAATTTATTTTAATTAATATAGTTCGAACTATATTAATTAAAATCAATATTCGTCAGGGTATTTCAAGGTATGTATAGCATATGTTAGATATGTTGGAGTACATAACATCAAATTTTATTTAATTATAGTTATCTTTGACGTCAGCATTTTGTGAAACGTGTAAAAATGTGAACGTGTGAAATGCGTATTGTGTGACTAAAATTTATTCAAAAAAATTTAGTCGTCACACTCCCTCCTTCCTTTACGAGAGTATATCAATACGGATATCTCCATTTCTGGCAATACGAATCAGTCGAGTCTTGCCATCCCATGTCGCCTTGAATCGATGACGCCTGCCTCTGGACCACTTCTTTAAATCGTAGCCCTGCTTCTGTAGTATTATCGCCGGGCTAAGGTCTTCATTCAGAAATTCAGCAGTGGTAACTTCATTAGTATGCTTTGATGTGATTGCTTTCTCGTGGGCGTTTTGCTGTTGTAGAATGGCTTTAGCGGTTGGAGGAGTTGCTGGACAATCCCAGTTGTTTATGGTTTGTCTCATAGAGTGATGTATATCTCGCTGCTCATGGAAATGGTTCATGTAGTCATCTCTTGCTTCTGCATCACCTGACTTAAACGGCCAGCTTCGTTTGCGATAGCGCTTGTTGTCATTTTCTTGGCGGTTTAAAATGGTTTTGGCAATTGGAGGCGTTGGAGGGCAATCACTGCTATTCGTCACTCGAGGAGGTGTATGAAGTATGTCCCACCAATCAGGAGGGGCCGTGATCTGCAGGATGTCTTCCAGACGACTCTCGCTCACCTCATCTGACAGCGAATTTTCAGAATGATGACAACTATAAAGATAAACAAGATTAAGTAAGTGGTACAAAATAATTTTAAATTAACAATGATACTGTTTAATTCGACTTAGGTGAGCCGAAATTATTTTATCGCCATGTAGTTCACGCAGCTTCACTATGACCGGTGATACAAAATCTATTACTTCATACGGTCCTGAATATTTCGGGGCTAATTTTGCATTAAAGCCGTCTAGCGCATTAGATAGTGGTTGTCGTGGTATTTCTGGTATTTCCTTTTTTATATGTTTTAGATCTTGGTGCTGTGCTGCTTGCTTCATTTCAACTTGTAATATTTCCTGTTTTTGTATGACTCGTGGTTGACAATACTCTGCTGACATTTCTTTGACTTTAGGACTTTGTTCCGGTTGTACTTCTAGTATTTGCAGCCTGATAGAACTCGGATCTTGCACTTGTTGCATTTGTTTCAATTGGACTGGTAATGACTCTTGCTCTTGTGGAACTTGCTGTTGCTTAATTATTTTTGGATTTTCTGGGATTAGTCTTCGATCTTGCGGTGATACATGATGTTGTTCCGCGTCATTTCGATGTCGCATGCTTTGTGTTGGTATACTTGCTGGAGTAGTTGAAGTTATAATTTTAGATGTTCCTGTAGGTGTTTGCTTGGTGATTGGCTGGTATTGCTGCTGGTTGCGGAAAGGTGACTTGGAGACTGGACTATGAATGACTTTATCACATTTCAATGTATTGGCTATGCGTCTCACGGTCTTCTGTATTATCACCGGTCGTGCACATTCCACTGCTACGCGCCCGAAGATTACCTCGCTATCTCGTGCTCGATTTACTTCATGCTGCTCTTCGCGTAGTTCTTCGAAGTCCTCAGCTAGTGCTATTAATTCCTTTAGACAAGTGAAATTCCGACGTTTGATGTATATTTGGTACTCTGTGCTCATGTTGCGATATACTCGTTCTAATTGTGACTCTTGATTTAAACCTGCGTGTCGCATTAGTTTTTGTAGTTCCAAAAGATACATTTTAAACGTCTCTCCTGGTTTCTGCAATCGATTTCTCAGTTCGTCCTCCAATCGCTCGAAATATTGATGTGGTAGAAAAAATTCCAGAAAATCTCTCTTGAACGCTTCCCAGTGATTCCAGTCTTTCTTATTGTATCTAAACCACACCAAACCTTGTCCATCTAGTAACAGGGGCATTGTTCGAGGCAACATGTTCGTTGATATGGCATACAGATCCGCTAATTCTTCCAATCGCTCGATAAACGTCAATGGATCGCTGCTGTCATCATACCGGATCGCCCATTTTCTGACCTGGTCGGTGACGCTTGCCTGTGTGTTCCTTTGAGGAAGATACGAGTGTACATCATATTGTGGATGTGTATATAACTGCCTTGCCGTTGTGTCGTTGATCATGCTATGTCGCTCTGATGTTTCGCTGTATTCTCTGTCGCGTGTATATTCCATGTTGCTTTCCCTGTGTTGCACAGTTTGTTAATCACCGCCGCAAATCTTATATTATTCAGTAGTACCCAGCCCGAATTCTCCGAGATACTTAAGTCATGTTTCCGTAAAATAAAAAAAAATATCTACGACCTGCTCATGTTAACTGTGTATTTTACCTCGTTAATGACGATGGAAAAGTTGTTATCCAAAACGCTGGTCTCAGGGTTCAACTAATGTCGTTTCTACCGTTGAAGTAAGATGTCGTAACACAGTAATTATTTTCGAATTCAAGTTTTTTTTTTTTCCTTTATTAAACAATTGGTAATATATGTATAACAATCAATGTATTTTAAAAAAAAAACCAATTTATCAAAATTCTGTCTTTACAAGTACTCGTAGTTAATAATAATCAAATAATATTTAACTGATTTCAATTTTATTGAACAATTTGTATTTTAAATAAAAAAAACCCAATTTTTCAAATAATGTCTTTACAATTACTCGTAGTTAATACTAATCAAATAATATTAATTAATCATGTTTTAAGTTTCACGTTTATAAATGCCTTCTTTGTGTTCATTTACATACAACAAAATTTATAAAAAAAAACTCATAAAATGTTTTTAAATAAAAATATAAGGGAAGATTACTTTGATATTTCACTTAGAATTTTTATATAATATTTTTACATTCCTTAATTGTGGATTCAGTAATTAAATTTTTAATGTTACACTTTATAATTATTTGAGATTAAATTTGCATATTACAGAATAAAATTTTTTTCCACAAATATCCTGTTTTCGGTTTAATTTCGAGTTTTATACATATTATTTGTTGACTTCTGTATTTTATATATATATATATAAGCCTTACCCTCTCTGGTACATCAGGGCAGCTTACAATGTCCAACGTTGATTATCAGGAACCGCCAATCACCTTAAACTTTGCCACGTATCGGAGACAAAGAGACACCAAAGCCGCGCCACGTCGTTTGCTTATGGTGTCAACACGTTTATAATCTTCGAACGAGCACCAGTACAAAATCTTTTAGTTAACCACTGTTAAAGCCGTCAACTATTTCTTTTATACTGGGGCTATTATCACTATTATCCCGAGCACCAAAATAAATTTTATTAGTAAAAATCAAAGTTTTATTTGCCACTTTTTGCTCTTAAGCAATTTTTTTTTAATTTTTTTTTACAAAAAAATAATTAACGTTGTAAATCAAAATTTAGTTTATAAATAATTTTTGAATTAATTATTTCTTTATATGGACAAAAACTGAGTAATTCACACCACCGGTACGTTGCGTTTCGTTTAACATAACCACGAGCCAAGAGACCGAAAACTTCTCCGCTTGCGCCTTTTATTCTCCTTTTTTTCTAACTGCGTCGAGCGGACTTTTTTGTTAGCCGTTGTTCGGTCAATACCCTCAACATTTCCCCTCATCAGGCATTCTGTTGTAGACTTCTGAAAGCTTTAATTACACTCGCAGCTTTTTTTCCTATTATCCGCTGCAATTTTTGGCGATCAACCGAAATGCACAAAGCAAATTAATAAATGACATTTCTCATTTTTTTCTATTTTTGTTTTGATTATGCTTTGTTTTTTTTACTAAAATGTGTTTCATGCAGTTCGGGAAAATAATTTAAATTTATTTTAATTAATATAGTTCGAACTATATTAATTAAAATCAATATTCGTCAGGGTATTTCAAGGTATGTATAGCATATGTTAGATATGTTGGAGTACATAACATCAAATTTTATTTAATTATAGTTATCTTTGACGTCAGCATTTTGTGAAACGTGTAAGAATGTGAACGTGTGAAATGCGTATTGTGTGACTAAAATTTATTCAAAAAATTTAGTCGTCACAAGTGTTGTGGTTTAATTTAAAATATATGTTAGCAAATTTAAAGAAATTAAGAAATATATTAAATTTATTTTTTTTTAAATTCATTTATTTTATTACAATCTGTCAGGTATGAATAGCAATAAGTAATATAGGTATATCAATATGAATTGTAATAATAGTTATTACGATCTGAAAAAGAAAGGCACGTATGGACTATGTCCAGTGACATTTCCATATTAAGTATATATATGTGTGTGACCTACATATACATATCTAAAACGTATCTCGATGTTTTTCTTTTTAGCCTTGTAAAATTGTTGGAGGGGGACATCAGGCAGTTTTGGCATATACCTATCTGCGATGAGTGTAATTCTTTATAATACGAGATATTTCTTCCTTAATTGTCGGAATACGTTATTGTTTATGCAGCTGGTGCATTTACCAAGGTGCATTTGTAATCATTCGTAGTGTTTTAGATTGAAAACGTTGGATAATTGCCAGGTTTAATTCTGCTGCAGTACCCCATAATTGGACTCCATAACTCCATACAAGTTTTAGTACAGTTTTACATATATTAGCAGTTTATTGTCGAGTGACAGTTTGAAATTTCGACTAGGGAACCAAAATAAGTTCCGCAATTTGAAACCCAAGACTTTACGTTTTTTTAAATATATGTGGTTTCCAGGTTAGTTTACTATCCAGATGTGTGCTCAGGCATTTTGTTTCTATAGCTTGTGGTTATTAAGTATTGTTTATTAAAATAGACGGGCAAGTAGCACATTATGTAGTACGATACGCCAATTTTTCATCCAGACAGCAACATTGTTAAGGCAGATTTGTAGTTTGGTGGAAGCACAGATTGGGTCACTATTAACTGATAAAATAGCAGTGTCGTCTGCATATGTATCGATAATACTCTCATCGGTAAAGGGAAGAACTGCAGTATATAGATGATAAAGCATTGGTCCCATTATACTATCTTCAGGTATTCCTGCTACTATATCATGAAGTACTGTAGTTTCGGAAACTTAATAAAAAGTGCCTTTCCGAGAGGCATGATTTAATAAATATGAAAAAATTTAGGAATAGAATCTGTTTTAGTTTGAAAAGATGGCCCTCATGCTATACTCGATCGAAGGCTTGTGAAATATCTATAAATGCCGCAGTGCAATCTTTTTTTACCAGCTATCGCACTATGGATATGTCTGACAAGTCTATTAATTTGTTCTATTGTGCTATGTTTTTGACGAAAATCGAATTAATGGTCAGGGATGAGTCTGTTTTATTGAATAATCAGTGTAAGGCGCTTTAGAAATAGAATTTCCATAACTTCCGACAGGATCGGAAGTAGACTTGACTTATTGGGCGATATGATTTGACCTCTTCTGCGTTTTTCCCTGGTTTTGGTTTTTCCCTGGTTTTCCACTGTGGCGAAATAAACCCCCTTATTATCAGAGTGTTTAGATGAGTGAGAAATACAAATCTTTTTGGTGGTAGCTGCTGCAGGGTCATGCTTGTGATTAAATCGTATCCTTGAGTTTTTTTACTTTTAACTTTGCTATTACAACTTCATTAATAGAATATCTTTTAATCGGAAGTTTTAACTGGTAAGGCTTTTGTAGAATATTTATCCTTTGTTCTATGATATCTGGCATATTTTGATTATCATTTGGTTTGAAGACCAAATCCAAATGTAACTTGAATGTTTCTGCTTTTTCAATATTACTTTTAGCCCATGAGTTGTCTATTTTGCGTTTAGGTGGTTGATAAGTAATCGGTCTGTTGCTCTTTTTTATGGCTTTTCAGAGAGAGTATTCTGTATCACATGAAGCACTTACGTTATAGGAGTTATAGGGACGTGCGATTATTATTGTACTTTATAAAAAGGACTTTTAAGAGTTCACATAATTTATTTAAGCGAAAAATTTATTAAATGACTCTGCAAATTATTTATTATCATTTTTATTTTAACACAAACGACAATTATTTTAAATTGCTACCAAATATTTAATCTTAATAAATAAATTGTGTAAATATTAATATTTGTAATTTGTTTAAAGTGAATGTATGCAAACATAATATTTGCTTTAATATATTAATTTATCTTGGTTGGCTTATTTTTTTGCGGCTTTTTTTGTTTGCTTTAAGTTCAAGTTTATACAAGTTTATACAAGTTTGTACAAGTTTATTCAATTTAATACAAAATACACGAAACGTGCAAAATTTCACGCACTTTGCATGTTCAAATAAGAAATATGTGGCATGAAAATTACACAACCACTAGAAAAATAATAAACATTAATTTTAAATGTAATAAAAAAGTCAAAGGACATATTTTTTCGTACTCTCGTTTTATTGTTTGCTTATTCGTTTATTCGTTTATTTTTATATCAGAAAAGTTGAGCCGAAATTCACATTTCTAAAATTTTGCAAGTTCATTTCGGACACTTTTGTTTTTTGGTTTTTTTTTAAATAAATTTACATATGTATAGTTATGTATATTTATAAATAAAATGTTGAATTATACCCGCTCTTTTTATACCAAATTCTCATAGAAACGACAAGATTTCTTAAAGTGAATCCTTAAAAAAAATTAATTTTTCGTTGTCATCTTTTAGGGCGCAGCCAAGTTGACAAAGGAAGACATTGAGAAAGTTTTCTCACTTTATGACCGGGTAAGTTGAATGAAAAATTTATATTTTTAATGCATTTAAATGCATTCACTGTTTTATTTATGTGCATCTCTTTAACAAAAAGTTGTGTTTAATTCTTTTGTACTGAATACTTTGTTGTTTTTACCATTATGGGAGAAAAAACTTCCCATTATGGTTTGTAATGAGCGTGGCTTTTGTTAAATAAAAATAAATTTTACAAAAAAAAAACTTTTGTAAGCTTTATATAAAAGAATCGTTGAGGAAGTTTAAAATTATACAATTCATAGGCAGTACATAATTGAAAAAATATTACAAAGTTTTTTTTGCTTCATATTTATATGCTGATTGTGGCGCCCTTAATAATAATATGCGACATAAGATAATTTTTTTTAATACTTCATACTTTAATACCAAAAGAAACCGGGGCTATCAGAAGTAACAGAAGTAGTACCAGAAGTATCAGAATATAGCCAAGAAAGGAGAAGTAAAAAATGGGATAATCTAAAACCC